GGCACCTGGGTGGCTCAGTTGGTTAAGCGACTGCCTTCAGCTTGGGTCATGATACTGCGGTCCTGGGATCGAGCCCCACATCGGGCTCCCTGCTCAGCGGAGAGCCTGCTTCTCCCTCTCCCTCTGCCTGCCACTCCCCCTGTTTGTGCTCTCAAATAAATAAATAAAATCTTAAAAAAAAAAGTGACAATACTGTCTACTTCTTTGTTTTTTTGTTTCAAGTTTTTACTTAAATTCTAATTAGTTTACATATAAGTTGTCTGATTCTTAATATTGCAAAAGACAATCTGAAGGAGAATAGTAAGCAGAGGTTGAACAAAATGTTGGAACTATATGTCCATGGAAATTACTTAGTGATTGTGAGTGAAATGAAAGACAATTCCAAATAAATTGTCGAAAAGTTATGTGTTTAGTGCAAGTAATAAATGCCTAAATTTGTAATAAAGTGGTAATGAAAGAATATCTTTTTATTTTTTGGAAAGAATTTTTTTAATCAAAGAAAATTGATGTTGAATGAGGCACAGGGTGGTGATCTCCCTGGGTGCCTGTAAGGGGGCAAGCTGGCTGTGTCCAGCTGTGGAGGACCTGCTGTGCCCAGAACCCTCTCTCCCAGCGGGCAGGCCTTCACCCACCCTCACCCGGAGGGGCCTGGCTGGGGGGCCCCACTTCTCCCTCTGGTGGGCAGCGGGATGCCTGTGGGGAGAACATTCAAACACAAGAAACTTTGAGGCAGGCAGGGCCTCAGATACCATCAGGTCCTACACCCTCATTTGTAAAGTTTAAACTGGCTCCTAATTACCAAGTAAATGCCTCTTCACTATATAAAACTTTGGATAATATTTTAAAATTAGAGAAACAATATCACTTATTCCATGACCCAGACACACTTTCAACATTAGAGCAGGGCACCTGGTGGCTCAGTTGGTGAAGTGTCTGCCTTCAGCTCAGGTCATGATCCTGGGATCAAGGGCCACATCCAGCCCTGCATCCAGCCCTGCATCGAGACCCGAAATGAGCCCCGCATCCAGCCCCTCACTGAGCCCAGCCCTCATTGGGTTACCTGCTCAGTGGGGAGTCAGCTTCTCCGTCTGCCCCTCCTCTCCGATCATGGGCAATGTCGCTCTCTCTCTCTCTCTCTCTCTCAAAAATAAATAAATAAAATCTTAAAAAATTAGAGCATGTTCCCTTTGGTTGTTTCTTTTTTATAGTCCATTTATTCATGAAATGCTATCCTGACCTTTTTACATTAACCTTTTACAATGAGGATTTCCCCAAATCATTACGATTTTTTTGTAAGCATTATTTTTTTTAAGATTTTATTTATTTATTTGAGAGAGAGAATGATAGAGAGCACGAGAGGGAGGAGAGTCAGAGGGAGAAGCAGACTCCCCGCTGAGCGGGGAGCCCGATGTGGGACTCGATCCACGGACTCCAGGGTCATGACCTGAGCCGAAGGCAGTCGCTTAACCGACTGAGCCACCCAGGCGCCCTGTAAGCATTATTTCTAATGGGTGTGTGGTATTCCATGGTACCTTTGCCTTAGAAACGCCTAATGACAGTACAGCTGCCTGGTCCAGATACAAATAATATTTTATGGCAAAATCATGGTGATGGTGGCAAAATATGATGAATACGCTAAAAACATTGTATAACTTCAGGGGCGACTGGGTGGCTCAGTCGTTGAGTGTCTGCCTTCGGCTCAGGTCATGATCCCAGGGTCCTAGGATCGAGTCACCTGTCGGGCTCCCTGCTCGGCGGGAAGCCTGCTTCTCCCTCTCCCACTCCCCCTGCTTGTGTTCCCTCTCTCGCTGTCTCTCTCTCTGTTAAAAAATAAATTAAAAAATCTTAAAAAAAAAAAACGGTGTATAACCTTAAATGGATGAATTGCATAGTATGTGACTTATATCTCAATAAACTTTTTAAAAAAATTAAGAGGGGGGAGTAAACAAGTGCACAGAAATACATGGAGGATTCATAAGACTATCACCTCTACTTTTATGTACATTTCAAATTTTCTAGAATAAAAAGTTGGATACAGTATTTCCTAGAATTCTCAGAGGTGCTTACCCAAATGTTCTCCGGCCTCCTATAGTTCAAGGACTCAGAGAAGGCTATCTGTCCCCCAGATGGGGTAGGCTGGGGCTGTTTCCACGCAACCCTGGCCAGTGCCGGCCCCTTTTGCCATCTTTTTACTCCACTGACCTTCTGCCCACTCGGCTAACCCCTGGCCGCTGGGCCAAAAGTGGGCCTCTGCCCGGGCTCCGCCCCCCGCCCCCCCTCCTCCACACCACTCACCTCTCACGTGTCCTCCCCTCCGCCCAGTAGGAAGCCACCTTCTACGTGTCACCACCAACCCTGTCAGCAGAGCAGCTGGGATCCCAGTGACCCAGCCCAGGCCTCTACCTCCCGGCCAGACCCACACTCTCCCAGGGTGGGGAAAAGCTCAGGCACGGCCCATACACCACACAGGCCCCCGGCTCTCTCACTTCCAGATCCAGCTGCTCAGTCTGGCTTTTCTACTGACCCATCTTCCTACCTCACCTCGCTTCCTGGCTCTCCGTCTTGCCCACCATCTTCCAGAAACCCAAGCAAATCCAGGGATCTCTGTACTGGGGCACTTGTGTGTCTGGTCCCTGAGCTTTGCCAAGCGTTAAAAAGCCCTGGAGAGGTTCTGGAACTCTACAACTGTCAGGAAGTGGGTCCAGCCGGTTAGGTGGTTCCACCTGATGTCTCACACCTGTGTGGTCTCTGACTCCGCCCCCATTCAGAGCTGTATGCAGGGCTTTTGGCAGGAACCACGAAGGGTGGCCTCAAGGAGAGAAGGCTGGAGGGGGAACGGAAGTCAGCCTGGGACAAGCAGGGCTCTCCAGCCCTCTCCACAGGACGCGCGCTAGAAGCAGAATCACCAGGACTTGGTGACCAGGTGGATGTAAGTAAGGGTTCAGATTTCCAGGTTGGGGCACCAGGCAATAGTTAGCTGGGATAGAAGGTAAGAGAAGAGCAAACACAAGCGTGACTGTTGAAACGTAAGGCCTGTGGATGCCGCTTCTGGGGGTGGAGGCGCAGAGCTGGAAACTGAGGCCTAGAGCTGGCGTGAGTCGGGGCGAGCCCCCGCCGAGCATGAGAAGCCACGGTCGGTAGGCACGGCTCAGAGGCATCCTTCAGAGACGGGGTGACCGACCACATGGCCCAGTCCTGGTTTACACCCGCTGTCCTAGAGCCTGGTTTATGGCTATTGTTCCACCTGGCACCTCCTTCACTCCGAAATGTCCTCGTTTGGATGACAAAAGCTGTGGTCACCCTACTCAAGAGAGCCCACAGGGCAGGGAAAGAAAAGTGACTAAGTCAGGCTCCTTTCACCCACTTGCTTCTTTCGGCCTCCTCAGTCTCCCACCTCTGACCCTCCACGCCTGTCTTAGACGCCTGCATTTTCCCCCTTGCTCTCCCTTCTTCTTGCCCACTTCCCCAGGAGAGTGCTCCCCCCACCCCACAGACCACCCGGGTTAGCCCAAGTCACAGCTGTGGTGGCTGAAGGAAGAGCGAGCCCGAGGGCCAGCCGCTCAGCCTCGGGGCAGTGGATGTGGAGGGAGGCAGCCTCGGCTGGGCTGGGGGCCCCGCAGGCCTGGTTATGGAGTCAGCACCGGTGGAGGCCGGCCTCCTCTGCTTTCCTGTTTTGTTATCTTGGAGCAAGGCATTCCTGCTCTCAGAGTCGCCCTTGCTTCCTCTGTAAAAGATGGAGATGGGACAAGGGATCAGAAATGTCTTCCCACTGTGAAGTTGTGTTCATCTTCTCTGGTGCCACTGCTCATGGGGCTCAGGTCACACGATGTGGGAGGTCAGTCCCCTCGAAGAGAGGATTTGCATGCACCTGTGTGGGGGTCTCCCTGGGTTGGGAGGCTGAGGACTAGAGTCCATGGAGCCCTTTAAGGACCAGCTGGGGCTAAGGCCTACTTTTGGCAGCCCAGGCCCCTCGGCAGGCCTGCACCTGCAGAAGGCACCGCAGACACATCGAGGGCTAAGGGGGTCCTCTGGCACCGCGTCCCCTGCTGAAGCCACCGCAGCTTCTGGAAGGGCTTCCCAAGAGGAGGTCCTGCACTGGAGCCACGAGGGGTTGGAAGGAGGAGGTATGGACAGCAGAAAAGGAAGAGCAACTTAAGGGAAGGAGAGACGGGACAATCCGCCTGAGAGAGGAGACTCCACCACCAGTCACCTGCTTGACCCTCAGTCAGAGCAGTTGTGCGTGGCGCGCTGTGTGTGCTGGAGCTATCCGGCCCAAAGGACCCGTGAAAATCGGTTACAGGGCGCTGGGAGCTTGGCAAGTGCTCTTAGTGGGGGCTCGGAGTTGGGGGGCGAGTATCGGGGAAGGCAGTAGGTTTTGAAGTCAAACCAGGACCCAAGCCGAGCTGCCACTTGACCTCTCTGAGCCTCAGTTTGCTCATCGGTAAAATGGGGTTAGTGAGGCGGCCTCGCTGGGCTGTGTGAAGCTGGAGGTGATAGATGGCATGGCAGCCGCGACCGCAGCGGCCGAATTCTGGGCCGGAGCTTCGGGAAGCGGAGCCGACCAGGGGTGGGGTGGGCGGCGGCACAAGGGGGCGAGGAGAGGCGCCGCTCCCGGCGGGGAAAGGGGGCCCAGACTCACTTGGCGGGGTAGAGGAGGCTGCCCTCTGCCCCCGACCCGGAGGTGCCGCCGCGCGTCTTCCTTTTCGTTTCAGGCTCCCGCCCGGGGTCCTCGGTCCTGGGCTGTCACCTGGACGCACGGGGAGGGGGGCCGGCGCGCCCCGCGGGGCGGAGAGGCGGGACTTGGCGGCGGCTGCGGGCGCGGGCCGGGGGGTGGGGCGAGGGCCGGGGGCGGGGGCCGGCGCCCCGCGGGGAGGCCGGCCACGTGACTCCCGCAGCCCCGGCCGGGCGGCCAGGCGGGGAGCGCCGCGGCGGCCCCAGGAGGTGGCGGCGGGCGCGGGAGCCCGGGCCACGCGGGACTGGCCGTCGGGGGCGCCCATGCCATGGAGAAGCTGGCGGCCGGGCTGGCCGGCCTGCGCTGGAGCATGGGCGCCTTCCCGCTCGACCTCATCGTCAGCCGCTGCCGCCTGCCCACGCTCGCCTGCCTCGGGCCAGGTACCGGGGTGCGGGGGAGGGCGGCTGGGGGTCCGCGGGGAAATCGGGGACTCTCGGGGCAGGTGCTGGGGGAGTGGGGCGGGGGGCGTGAGGATGTGGCCTCTGCCCTCCCGCTCCCGGCGCCGGTCCTGCGCAGCTCCCGGTGCGCCTTCCCTGGAGACCCGGGGCCCGAGAGCCGAGGGTCTGCCGCCTCCTGGATCCTGCGCACGGGCACCGGGACAGAAATCCGGGACAGGCACTGAGGCCCGGCCGGGACAGAGTTTTCCGGGCCAGCTAGAACCCGGAGCGCGGCGGAGGCCCCGCGCCCGCCCCGTCGTGCATCCCTTTCCCTGCCGCCCTCAGACCCCCGCCCGGGCCGCGCCCCCTCCGTCCCTTTGTCTCCCGCCTCTCACCTCGATCCTCCCTCATCCCTTGGGCCTCCGACTCTGTCTTCCCACCGCCGCCGCCCCCCAGCCCTGCTTGGCCCCTCTTGGGACCCTTCTTGCACCTTCCTGTCGCGTCCTGGGGAGCAGTCTGCGGCCCCAGGCGGGCAGGCCACCTCGGGGAGAGACCCGAATGATTGGCCCTCCCGCCGGGCGTGCCCCCAAGTCCCCGGCCCTCCCCCACATCTTGTCCCACTTCCCAGGGGCCCGGGTGCTCTGCCGATGGGACTGTGCATGGGGGCCCGAAAGGGGACGCCTGGAGGCTGCACGGAGTGAGGGGACCGTTTGGAGGAAGGGGAGCTGCTCGGCTGGAGGAGGGGCGGGAGCCGGGGCTGGCAGCCAGGCCGGGGGTTTTGTGTGTGAGAAGAATAGGGGTTTGGCCCGCGTTGGCACACTCGCTTCCCTGAATGCTAATGGGGCCCGCGGCCACAGGCTACTCTCCTCTCCTTGGGGCCCGCGGCCCCTCCTCCGACCCGCGGCGGCGACGAGTGGGCACCGTGAGTCTCAGTGCGTTTCGCGAGCGCACTGCGTGGCGGCGTCCGTGCCCGGGCCGTCGGACAGAGGGGCTCAGCCGCCCAGCGTCTTGTTCTCCGGGTCGTGGGCGTGTGATCCCGAGACCGTTCCGTGTCAGGATCAAGGCTGTATGTGTCTGCCTGTGAACGGGCTGAGCGGGCCCTGGGTTCTAACTGGACACTTCCCACACATTCCCTTGGGCATCTCTCCCTCCTGGGGGTCCTTTCTAAGCTCCCCAGTCTGGGCAGGCCTCTTTTGGACTCCCATGACCCCTCTGGCACCCCTGACTTGAGTCCTGTGCACCCATTGTAATAGCTTATTGTCTTAACTCTGGGCTGCATCCTCCTTGAAGGGACATATATTGCTTAATAAAGATTATGGACTTACTGACCCAGTGGATGAATGCATGGACAACTGGTGATGGTCTAGCTGTGACCATGAGGCTGTGGCTGTGGTCACCATGACTGTGACTATGTGAACAAAGTGTGTCTTGAAGTCTTAAAGGTCATTGTATGCCTCTGTGTTTGGGAGAGGCCCCTTAGTGGGGCTGTGCGACTGAGTTGTGTCAGTGGGGTGACCAGCTCCTGTCTCACTGGGCCAGGTGGCTGTGCTGGCTCAACTGTTGGGACCATGGCTCTTGGTGTGTACCCTGTGTGGCAGTGGCCCGTGTCCCTGTGGAAGGGTGGGCCGGGACTTAGGAGAGTTTTCTCTGCCCCAGGAGGGGAGGGGTGGAGGAGGAAGGTTCAGACCCCTCCAACACAGTGGGAGCCAGGCCCGCCCCCAAGCACCTGAACACATCCTCCCCACACACTTCATGGGGCCCTCAGGCATCAGGATAAACCACTTCCCATTTGGTTGGGTGGCAGCAATTTAGTCAGTTGTGTCTGAGAGGGCTGGGAAGGAGGCGTCCCCCACCCCCCCTGCCCACCAGCTGCAGCCAGGAGGCCGCTCCACCGGCTCCCCTGGAAACCGTTGCTGGGATTGGAGCCTCCTGGGCCCAGGCCCCTCCCAACACCTCTGCCCCAGTGCAGCTTCCCCCAGAACTAGGCCCCCCCTAGAAGCCCCCCCCAACCTCATCACTGTGTTCCAGAGACTGGGAGGGTGAAGGGCTGACAAAGGGAGGGCCAAGAAACAGCCTCTCTGCAAGGGGGTAGGGGGTATCTGAGACTTTCCTCCCTCTCCTTTGCGGTCCCCTGAATGTAGGAGTCTCCTGGGGCAATGCGTGTAAAAGGGCTGCCCGTGAGAGAGGCAGGAATCAGCTCCTCCAAGCCCTGTTCTTCTTCTGACTCGAGTGATGTATGGTGCTGGGGGGAGCCCTCAGCTGGGACCCACAACGGACAGCCCTGTCTCAGCCCTATCTGTGCCTCCAACACAGATAGGGCTGAGACAGGCCTCCTTGCCTGGCTCAGGCACTGACTTGGGGGCTGAGAACCCTGCTGGTGGTCCTGCGGGCCAGTCCTGCGGGCCAGCTCTAGGGTCTGCTGCTCACCCCACCCCCGGCTAGTTTGCTGCTCCCCTCTGGGAGTGCCCAGACACCCTCCACTCAACGTCAAAGGCGGTCTGTTTCCTCGGTTCACATTTCTTCCACCTCCCCATGGGTCTAAGCGCTCCTGGAGGGCAGGGCTGGCGAATCTGCTGGGAGGTGCTCCTCCCCCCGCCCCCCCCAGGACCCCCCCGCGCAGCCCTGGCCCCGGGACAGCAGGTGAAGAACTCAGGACTATGGCTGGGCTGGTTTGCTGGGGCCCTGTCAGGGGCAGGAACCTGGGCCCTGGGAGACGGGGCATGACTCACAGCCCTGAGGCCACAGCTGGCAAACTGCTTATCCCCTGAGCCTTGCTGACCCGGACAGGCTCATGGGGAGCTGTCCCTAGTCAGGGTCTTAGAGAAGTAGTCAGCCTCCCTACTCTCTGCCCCCTCCTGATGTTCGCTTTACCTTTCCTTCCTCTTCCGCCCTTTGCCTCCCAGGGGAGTATGCTGAGGGTGTCAGTGAGAGAGACATCCTGCTCATTCACTCCTGCCGCCAGTGGACAACAGTGACCGCCCATACCCTGGAGGAGGGCCACTACGTCATCGGACCCAAGATTGACATCCCCCTGCAGTACCCAGGTGTGCCCAGCCAGGAACAGATGACCTTGAGCCACTGGGGGTGGAGGCAGGAGGGTAGGGGGTGGGGCTTGGGAGAAGCTGTCGGTGACCACCCTTTCCTTGGAGCCACAGGGCTGAGCCCAGGGCCTGCTGGGCAGGGGGCGGTTAGGGTTAGGGTCCAGTGGTTTTCATACTGTTCTGGGGAGTCCTGGTTTTCTTGTTGAAAACCTTTGATTCACACTGTCTTTTAATAGATTTTATTTTATTTTTTTTTAAAGATTTTATTTATTTATTTGAGAGAGAATGAGAGATAGAGAGCACGAGAGGGAAGAGGATCAGAGGGAGAAGCAGACTCCCTGCTGAGCAGGGAGCCCGATGTGGGACTCGATCCCGGGACTCCAGGATCATGACCTGAGCCGAAGGCAGTCGCTTAACCAACTGAGCCACCCAGGCGCCCTTTAATAGATTTTAAACAACTGATTTTTAAAAAAAATATCCACACTCTCAAATTGCTACGAGTCAAACCTTAACCCCAGCGAGAGACCTGGGGTGTGTACCGTGAGCTGCCTCATTAAGCCTCTTTGGTACAGACCCTCAAGAAGAACATGGCCAGGATCTTCTCAGTGGCGGGCACCCGAAGCCCTTCAGAAGCAAAGGGATGCTTGGGCTGAGTATCTGGCTGCCTCTGCCCACTGTAATCCTGTTCTTCCCAGTTTTTGTGTTAAATTCGTTTTCATTGATTGACTTTATAAGTGAATGTTAACGTTTTAGACTTTTAAATAAGATTACGCTGATGAACTACTTTTATCTTTTATATATATGATGTTGATCCACATCAGATTTTGTTTGAAGAAAGGATTCTGCTGCTGGAGAGGGAAAGTACAGCCCTTGTATTTTACACATGATAAAATAGAGGGTTTAAGAGGGAAGGGACTTGCCCAGGGTCACACGGCTGGTGAGCAGCAGAGTATGGGCTAGAACCCTGGTGACTCGACTCCTGGGCTTGTGCTTGCTTGCACCACACCAGCAATGCAGGGTCGTCGTCACCTGGGTGGGAAGGATGGGAATCTGGTGGCTCCATCCCAGTGAAGCCCCCATGTGAGCCCACGATCACACCGCTCCTATGTGTTAAACCCATGGCTGCCTTCCAGACACTGAGCTGAGCATTTCATCATTTTATCCCCACGGCCACCCTGTGAGAAAGTCTTATTAAGTCCATTTAACTCACAAAGTGAGGCCCCAGGAGCTCCAGTAGCTTGCCCCTCACCCCCAGCCCTTCCTGAACCAGGGGGGCAGGACTAAGACAAAGGCTTCTGCTCTCTACAACGACCCTGCGAAGTTGGTTCCCCCATAGCCCTCACACCCATTTAAAAGATGAGAAAACTCTCTCAGGTGTCTTTCTGACCTGCGGTTCTGTCCTGAGCCCTGAGCCCTTGAGAAAGCCTGCTTAGAAGCTAGAAACTTCGCAGGCTGGGTGTCTATCTGGTGTTCGTCCAGGAAGAGGTCCCAGGTCGTCTTCTTGGGATAAAAAAGCAAAAACTGGAAAGAGCCCTCACTGACAGAAGTGTGACTTTACTCTCCTATTTCGGTGTGATTAAGAATCCGGGAAACCAAGGCACGGAACCTCCTAGCGAAGAGTGAGAGCGGGAGGGTTCTAGCCCTTCCCCTATGTCTTTTGGTGCCCCTGAGTGCATGTGGATGGTGTAGTCATGAGGTGACAGCTGGCCTGTAGGAGAGGCGCATCCCCATCAGCGTCTTTCCAGTGGGTGGCTCGGTGGGGGAGGGGAGGCCAGGCCCCTCAGGAGTAGGAGGGGCGGGGTAAGGAGGAAGCTGAGTGCACAGCCCAGTTCCTCCTAATGAATTAATAATGGGGTGGGCGGGGGCAGTGGCTGCGGACCCGGAGGGCCGCGGGGGAGGGGAGTGCAGCCCTGCACCCGGGGAGCCCGGGGGAACCTGGCTGCTCTGAGGCAGCCCGCACCGCCCTGAGTGCGGGGCCGGGTGGCTCTAGTCAGCGGCGGCTGGCACTCGGGGCACTAGGCCGTATGCTTCCATTTCACAGATGGGAAAACTGAAGCCTACAGAGAGTAGTTTGCCTAAGGTCACACTTCTGGTTGGTTCCAGAGATGGGATCCAACCGGGTCTGTCTGCCCCCAAGTGTGCACATTTACCCATCATTCTTGAGGGAACGGCTGCCAGGGTCGGCTGCTGGGAGGAGGCGGAGAGAAGCAGGGCTGCTTTGGGCTGGACGGGACGCCAGGCAGCACACATGTGTTCTAGGAGGGGAGGGCAGGGAGCAGGGGCAGGCTGGGGGGGGGCGGTGTGGGCAGGTCCCTGGGCCTGCGGGGGTCTCAGACCGGGCGAAGGCAGGAGAAGAAGCTGCAGGGGGGAGTAAAGGCTTCCAGGGGCTAGCGCCTCACTCCCGGGAGGGCTCCCTTCCTTCCTTCCTCCTGCAGTAATGACCGGTGCTGGGCTCAGGCTGCGGCCGAGGGGGTGGTGCTGGCTACCATGGTTACATCGATCCCCGGGCCACATCCTGCCCCGGCTGCAGCCGTGACTTGGCTCCGGCTCTCCCCACAGGGGGCGGCGGGCCTTTCGCCCCGCGTGGCTGCTTGGGGTGGGGGGGTTTGGGGGCGGTTGGACACCGGGTGAGGGAGGGGCAGCGCTCCCGGTGGGAAGGGAGCCGAGGTGCAAGTCCTGCCACCCGACCCCCAGACGGCTGTTCCCTGCCGGGCCCCTCCCCGCGGCATCCCTGCTGCCCTCAAGGGCTGAGGCACATCTTAAAGGGTCTCAGTGGTGGGGGCAGGACTCCCTCCCCAGCTTTCTCCGGGGCACCTGCCCTTCTCTTTCTCCGATCTCACTTCTTTCCTGCTTCTAGATGCTCACGGACTCTGTCCTTGGCCCTTCGTGCTTCCTACCCAGCCCTGGGGAGGCCCGGTGGGGGGTCCTCAGTCTGGGATTCTGGCTGGGTTTTGGGGAATCCAGGACCCCCCACACTGTATACAAAATGGTGTTTGTGTTCATGCCAGGAGTTCGCTGTGGGCATTTTTCTGGGAAGACGGTTTTCAGAGCGTTAAGATCTTCTGTTCTTCTTTCCTTGAGCCGTCTTCCCTGCCCTAAGGAAGACTCCACCTGTGGGTGGGTGACCTTCAGTCTGAACTTCTGACTAGGCATCCCCAAGCCCTGCCCCCGAGTGCTCACCCCCCGGGAGCACCCCCTCCTGGCCTCCCACCCCCTCAGTTGGCCTCCTCAGGACTGGCTCCAGCCCCACAGCATGTTACTTCCGGGTCCCCAGTTTCGCTTAGCAGCTTTGCCAGCTCCATTTTTTTTTTTTTTTGGTCTCCTTTTTTTCTTTCTTGTAGTTTCAAGTTTTTATTTAAATCCCAGTTAACGTACAGTGTAATATTGATTTCAGGTGTGGGATTCATCACTTACATATACCCCCTGGTGCTCATCACAAGTGCCCTCCTTAATCCCCATCACCCATGTGGCCCACCCCCTGCCCACCTCCCTCTAGCAACGCTCAGTTTGTTGTCTAGCATAGAGAGTCTGTTTTGCCAGCTCTATTCCTGCCGGGGCTGGTGGCCCGAGTCCTCTCCTCCCCTGCCTGCTCCTCATCTGCCACCCCAGACTTCCTTCCACGTACCCCTTGGTCTGCTCGATTTCGCTCTTCCCCCAGCCACCGTCCCGGCTCTGCTGCAGAACAGTCCCTGGCCGATTGACCCGACCGGCCGGCCGCCCGCCCCCACTTTCTTTACAGAGCTCAACTTGGATCTTGGCATTTCCTTGCTCAAAACACACTGCAATTGCTTTCATTTCTTTTTTTTTTTTTTTTTTTTCCCCGGGGGGGCGTCGGATGACCCTTTATTGAAATACGTTCCTTTTTGGTTCTTAACTAGTGGGGCATTCTGCTGCACCACTGTTGATGCTGTCTATGAGGTCACGAAGGTGACAGCCATCAACATTGCGGCCTACAGACTGGGCAGTCCCCAGGATCTCTTGAATGGTTCCAGAGAGTTCTCTAGCTAATGATGTGTGCCATTTCTGTGGGGCAGTGTTGACAAGCTCCTGAAAAGTGATGTTTCCACTGTGATTCAGGTCTTTCTGCTTCTTTCTGTCTCTTGGCGGTTCATTGAGGGCTTTGATGATCAGAGCAGAGGGCAGAAGGTACCAGTTCAATCTGGGCCTGTCTTGAATGGTCAGTGTCACTGTCCACCTCAGACCCTTGCAATCACCACTGGTCCGGGCGATGTCCTCACTCACCTTGTTTGGAGACAGACCCAGGGGGCCAATCTTGGAGGCTCAGCAGACGTGGCCCCAGCTTTCCCACCAGTGCACCTCAGGTATAAGACTTTGATCTCATTGGGATTGAACTTAGGAGAAAAAAGCCGAACGCTCATTTCTTCCTGAGTAGAATCCTTCTGCCTTAGTCTGGCGTTCAGAGCCTTTCATCACCCGAATGCTACTTGCCCGGCTATCGTCCCCTTCCTCAGGTCCTGGGCACAGGCCCTCCCCTATCGGGCCCGCGGCCGGCACTCTGCTCTCCCGACTCTGGTTCGCACCAGTTCTTCCATGTGGGACGGTCTGTTCCGTAAAACTCTTCTCATTCTCGGGACCCCGTCAGGGGGCCAGGCAGGTTCCCACTCACTCCGCGGTCCTCTGGCTCTCAGTCCCGGGTCCCCACCTGCCGGTACTAGGTGCTCACCGTCACAGCCACTCTGTCCGAGTCCCTGGGTTTGCACCCTCTGTCAGGTCTAGCCCAACATCTGGCACACACAGGGTGCTCCATAACTGTGGAAGGAATAAATGCGTGGACCATGACTGCAGCAACCACCAGGAAGGCTGTGGAAGCTAAGGAGCCCCCTTGTCTTGTCCTGGCCCGTTGTCCTCTCACCTAAGATTCCCCTCTGTCCGTGGAAGGCCTGAGAAGGGGTATCCGTCCAGATGTCTGGGATTTTCGCAGCCTGTCTTTGTGCTCTTGTAGGTGGGCACATTACACGTGTGTGGCCAGTGAGGTAAGACCGTTTACACAAGGGTGTCAGCTTCATGGATTAGCCTCCTTCTTTGAAAGTCCGTGTCTGCTGGGGGTATCCGCTGAGCCAGCCAAAACAGCCCTAGACAGCAGGCTCGGAAGGCCGCCTCTGAGGGAGTTTGCTGGGCTCTGGTCAGAGGTCTCTGGGACGGTGCAGCTGGATGTTGGGCCAGGGCAGGGTCTGGGAACAGAGCTGGAGTCTGAGCAGCTCTCCTGGGGCCTCCGAGGCCTAGGGCTGAGCCCCCGGCCTGCCCAGTGCATCGGTATGGATCAGCCACCCAAGGTCGACGCGTTGAATGCCAGATCCAGACAGGGCCCCAAGGCCCCTGCTCCAGCACCCTCAGATGAGGACCCAGAGAGGGGAAAGGACTTGTCTAGGGTCACAGCAAGTCAGAGTGGGGCTGGGACAAAGCTAGGAGCCTGCATCTCCTGTGCCGCACTGATGCTTGGTTAGAGGCCAGCTCTGTGTGCAAATGTTCAGCTGCCTCTTTGCACTTGGATTTCTCTGGGCAGGCAGCTGCTAACCTCCTCACCCACCCACAAGCTCTCCATGCTTGGTCTGTGCTCACCTTTGCCCTTGAGCCAGCTGACCAGACCCTTCCACCTCCTGTGGGGGCAAACCTGCCTTTCTGCCTGCCGGAGTTCCAGCAGGCCTGGCTGAGGTGAGGGTAGCAGGAAGTAGGGACTAGCAGGCAGGCCTGCCCTAGCAGCCTGTGTTTCTCCTTTGTAGGGAAGTTCAAGCTCCTGGAGCAGGCCCGGGATGTGCAGGAGCCAGTGAGGTACTTCAGCAGCGTGGAGGAGGTGGCCAGCGTCTTCCCTGACCGCATCTTTGTGATGGAAGCCATCACCTTCAGTGTCAAGGTCAGTCCTTGCCACACCAGGCAAGATGCCCCATCGCTGGTTGGAGGGTTGTCAGTGTGGCTCCTGGCAGCAGCTCGACGGCATTTGGCACGATTGGGCCATATCAGAAGAGCTAGGTGTATGACCCACTGGCCTGCAGAACTTTCTGGAAAGGTGGTGAGGCAGGAGTAAGTGTGGAGCATCGTGCCCTGACTTGGAGGCCTTCAGGGCAGCCTGTCCTAGCGTCGGCTGGTGTAGAGGTAGTTGTTGGGGTACACAATACCAACAGACCCCACTTGTGTACAGATCGCTCTTTACTATTTACAAACCCTTATCCATCAATTCATTTCTCTGCACAGTAGCCTTGTTGAGTGGGTGGAGCATTATTCCTGCCCAAATTGTAAAGATAACGATAATAAAATTGTCATTTATTGGGTATTTTCAAAGTAGGTTGCTGTACATACAGCACTTCTTCCAAGTAAGAGTTATTACATGAGGCAGCTAGGCCCCAGAGTAGGCTCATTTAAGGTTGCACAGCTGCCATGTGGCCTCTCCAGGAGGGAAGGTGGGTCCCCGACCCCCCAGTCCAGTGGCCTCGATCGGGTTTCAGCCCGGGGAACAACCCCGCCCCCACCCCGGGAGCCTCAAAGGGCGGCTTTCCCTGGGGCTCTGGCTAAGGCCTCGCCGTGTTTCTGGGACTCCGCAGGTGGTGTCGGGTGAATTCAGCGAGGACAGCGAGGTGTACAACTTCACGCTGCACGCGGGCGACGAGCTCACTCTCATGGGCCAGGCGGAGATCCTGTGCGCTAAGACCACCAAGGAGCGCTCGCGCTTCACCACGCTGCTGCGCAAGCTGGGCCGGGCCGGGGCGCTGGCCGGGGTGGGCGGCGGCGGCCCCGGGGGCGCGGGGGCCGCGAGCGGAGGCGGCGGCAGGCCCATCAAGGGCAAGATGCCCTGCCTCATCTGCATGAATCACCGCACCAACGAGAGCCTGAGCCTGCCCTTCCAGTGCCAGGGCCGCTTCAGCACGCGCAGCCCGCTGGAGCTGCAGATGCAGGAGGGCGAGCACACGGTGCGCGCCATCATCGAGCGTGTGCGGCTCCCGGTGAACGTGCTGGTGCCCAGCCGGCCGCCGCGCAACCCCTACGACCTGCACCCGGTGCGGGAGGGCCACTGCTACAAGCTGGTCAGCATCATCTCCAAGACCGTGGTGCTGGGGCTGGCGCTGCGCCGCGAGGGCCCGGCGCCACTGCACTTTCTGCTGCTCACCGACACGCCGCGCTTCGCGCTGCCGCAGGGCCTTTTGGCCGGGGACCCGCGCGTGGAGCGCCTGGTGCGCGATAGCGCCTCCTACTGCCGCGAGCGCTTCGACCCCGACGAGTACTCCACGGCCGTGCGCGAGGCCCCCGCCGAGCTGGCCGACGACTGCGCCAGCCCGCGCCGCGCGCGCCTCTGCCTGCCCGCGCCCCCGCGCGCCCCCCCCCCGCGCCCCCGGCCCACCCGGCGACGGCGACCAGGAGTACGTGAGCCCGGACTGGGCCGGCGCCCCCGAGCCCGCCGCGCCGCCCGCCGAGATCCCCTACGAGGAGCTGTGGACGCACCAGGCGGCCGACGGCCTCGCCGAGGGCCGGGCTCGGCCGCCGCCCGGGCCCGACCTCATCTCCTTCGGGGCCGCTGGGCCGCCCCGCCTGGAGCCCGAGGCCCCGCCGCCTCCTGTCCCCCCCAAGTCCGAGGCGGTGGGTGGCTGCGACGGAGGTGGGAAGGGTGGGGAGGCAGGGAGCCGAGCTGGGGGCTCTCTCTACTCCAGGGAGGGAGGTGGCCAGCCAGATGCCAGTTCTCTTGAGCTCCGGGCTCCAGCCCCTGGAGTGTGGGACTGGGGCGGGGGGGGGGGGG